AATTCTTTAAGAAGAGTCATGTCTAGTTTAATTACTATTAAATATATATTGAAGATTATTTAAAATTGTTCAATATTAAAATATAATTCTAAATTAAAGCACATGTTATCTTCTATTTAATTCTATATTACATATATCTTAATACATTTGATACAAATGTCTTATTTAATACTGGTATTACATTTTAATCTTACATTAAAATGTAATTCAAAGTTTTATTCAATAATAAGCAACTTTGGATTATATAATAATATTAAATAACCTTGTCAATGATGTACGTATGGAAGAACGAAGCAAGTCCCTCTTTTAACCAATAGTAAGACCACCAAGACGGTGTGACCAAATTACCAAACCATTGAAGTGCAATTTCATGTGCTACTATCGCTGCTATTTGCGCTTTTTTATATGTTGGATATTTGCTAGCATCGTAAATAACTGATGATTCACTGAAAGGCAGAACGTAATATAAATCGTTTCTGTTGTGAATATACAATCTAATGTATTTTTGAGTAATTATGTTCTTTGCCAGTAATTCAGATGTATAAATTTTCTTTATATACATATAATTTATTTAATATACATTCAGTTTTTTTATAAACATAGATATGAAAAAAAGAGCTATCACTTCTAGTGGCCTTGACCTTGACAAATAAAATTATCAGGATCGCGATTCTGAACAATATGTTGTCAAAATGTTTTAGCTCTCAGTTGAACACTTTTTATGATCCTAATGTTGGCAATATTTATATTAAATCTTATTTTTTTAATCTAATATAATTTAGAAAATATTGTTTGAATAGTTAATAATTTTTTTTATATATATTGTTTTGAAAACCTCTCAAAGTAAATTACAAGAGTTGTAGCACAAAATAATGGATTTTATATAAGAAAATATTAATCACATTGATTTTGCCTTGAATAAGCTCTTCCAATGCTCAATTTCTAGACTTTCAAATAATTTGCGAATAATCTTATTCAGAATATATTTCCATTGTAATCTAAAAGATATTTCTTGGATAAAGTTATCTGGAAGTGAAAAAATTGAGCATAAAGTTTTCATCATGTATTTTCTTAATATACTAAAACTTTTATTTTTCTAAAGCCGTTCCGAATCCAGGAATTTGTCAAACTTTAGCAATATTCTGCATATACATACGTACATATACGTAATTGCATTAAATAAAAGAGGAATCCGTAATATATATATTAAACACATTAACTATGTTAGATAATCTAAACATGAAAATATACATTTTTTTATATATAATTAAATACACACACATTATAAATTACTAAATTTTGAATACTAAGAATAATATTTGCTGACTTTAATAGTTTAATTAATTTCTTTTTAATTATATGTGCATTACTTGTATGTGATGAGTCCCCAGTGTTCCATACCATGAACCGGAAAATTTGGTATGATAAAGTGATCCATTTTCGGTATCTTTTCGGAACTATTGGTGTATTGGATCAAGAATGGCGTGATCATTTCAGTAATATTAAACACAAATGTTATTTGCCATACCAAAGACGATCTGCACCACACATTGATGGTTCCTTTCTCGTTGGAAAGATGGTGAAAATCAATCATGGGGATTACGATAATCTCTATAAGGTAAGTGGACATTATTGGAGAAATGTCGAAATACGAACACATCATATCATTTTCAAAAAGTTTTCTTTGTACTAGAGGCATATTTGATAATGCCAGATATTCCACATGATGCATTACAGAAATATTAAAGATGGCTTTTAACGCGGGTTCGTCCCAACACGGAAACATTCGTCTAGCTCCTTTCGGTTCTGAATACGTTGCAACCATTCTAGAATTTAATAAAATGTTTAAAGTAACGACAAATTTTTCACTTATGTTGGATAATATAAAAATTTTAAGAATATTTATTATTTATATGATTATGTAATAATATTATAATAATTTTTTTAAAGAGAGTATTGATATGTAATATTTTTTATTTTGAATATTAAACTTAATAAATACAATATTACATTACACATATAAAATATACATATATATATTCTAATATTAATTAATACTTAATAAATATAATTTATATTGTAATTATATTTACATATTGAAAAACTTTTTTAAGTATAATTGCGAAAATATATGTTTAGCGACATCGAGTATTTTTAATATTCTACAATAGTTTATACTTTTTAATATTTTAACATTTTACACTTACATATTTTTTTTTCCTCTATTTGTATACGGAAATATCATAAAACCACTTTCCAAAAAACTATTGTTTGGTATTGTACCGGCAAATTTCATGTTAAGAGTGTAAAAGGCGGGTGATAATGCATCTTTGAAATTGAGTGTCAAGATATCCGTTTGATTGTCATGGGAATGTTTTATTGGTTTATAAACTGTACCGTAGTCATTAATCAACGTTGTCGCTATTTCATTTAATTCTAATTCTTTTGAATGCAAGCTTATGTTTAACGATGCATAACAAATCTCAATTCTAATATTGGATTCACCGTGAAAAGTAAAGATGTCTTCTTCACGGTTCAGTATTAGAGAAATGTTATAGAATAATGGTACTGGATTGTCGGGTAAACGGATAATTTCTAAGTCATTATTGGTACAAAAAATGCTGTTTGTGCTCAATATTATATGTAGACTGAGATTTAGTAATAATTTTAGAAATCCCATAATTGATGTTTGTTTTAAATGCCTTTATCCTAGAAACTTAACATAATAGTGTTTTTCTTATTTCAATTTTTAATGAGAGCTGCGAAAAATGTGATAATTTTAGCAAATTGACTGAAAACGTTTTCTGTAAATCATATAGGATTTTTTAGTAGTTTTTTTGGTATTAGCATTCTTTAAATACTCTTTATAATGATATTTTAATTTTTTAACAAGAGATATCTATTGAATTATTATACTTTTTAACTACTTACTTTATATATTACACCTTTCTGCTGGTTAAAATACTATTGAATTCCAATAGTTATACAATTGATTAATAGTCTCGCAATAAGCCGTTAATATCAGGAATATATTAGTATAATTGTGAATACCGTTTTATCATTTCAAAAGATTTTCGAATACTGACTCTACAATCTCAATATCACTGAAACAATAACGAATATGTTATGTAAATACGTATTTGTAAGGTCGTGTCAATATAAAAGGTGTCCACATTTTAAACTGTGACTTTTTGTTTACTGTAACAAATAGCGTGACTTTTATTGACAATTGAATTAGATGTTAAATCTTAATCAAGCAGAAAGCATTAGCTAGTCGAGCAATTTGAACCACAAAGGCCTTGTTAACTTTTTAGCAAAATTTAAAATAAAATCCAAATTTTCATATTAAAAAATAGTATTAAAACTTATGCTCAAATAGTTTTTAGCTTTCTAGCAAAAGACACAATATAACGCAGTGATTATTTCGTCTTTGTTTAACATTGGCAAACAGATATGTAATGATTTATCGTGTTATATTTCAAATTTGCTCTTCTTTTAGAAGACGTAGAGTGCATTTGGAAAAACGCAATTAACGTTATTTATACTATTCTATTTTTATCATTTATTAAACATAAACAAGTATAAAAGGATACAAATAGCGTTAATAGCATTTTCCGAACGCACCTCTGGATTGTAGCTGCGTGTCGGCATAGATGGCATTGCTTTTTGCGGCCCGCGGTGCTCGGTGTAAAAATTAACAACATTATGATCCGAACTTTCTGCTAAATATAAAATTTAAAAAATTTTGTCACTCGGCGACGACAACAAATGTTTCAACAAACTCTATAATTCCTAATAGCTCCCGCACATTATACACAAAAATAAATGTTGCACATCAAGCGTTTTCGCATCCAATGTGCAAAAGTCATAAATTAATAAGTAATTAACAATCATATAATTCATGTATAATATGTTTTTACATGTGACAGTTTATTACTTAAAAGCCAAAATATTTTTTAATATTTCTGTAAAAATGCTGCAAGATTTATAAAACTTATGCCGTAATATGTATTATAAATTACAATTCCTAATATCTATGATATTATAACGATATTATAGCGCAATATTGCAAAATTTTTGGAATGTTACTGCAAATTTCTGTGCTGTATAAGGAAACTCTTTAGTAAAAATCTGGACATTTTCAACCTATTTTTTGATAAGGCATTCTTAAAAAAGACAAACATAGCGAAACGTTACAATTAGAAGTGAATTCCGTTTCGTGCATATAATTTACATAATATATTATTTTATCTTACTCTAATATTGGTAAACATTAAAGATAGATGATGTATTGATGTGTATTATATGTGAAACAAAACGCACACATAATTTTACAATCTGCATTTTGCTTCCAAGGAACACACAAAAATTAATTGTAACAAAAAAAATCATTACTTTGATTTTCACGCCTATTTCGACTTTCTCTTAAATTGATGTGTTTTTATATATTTTGTATTTATATAATAATAATATTTACTATTTTTATAAAGCTACATTTATTACAGATAACTCATCATTATGAGGTGACGTCATATTACTTATTTTCTCTATTACAAATTGAGCAAGTATATGTTGTAATAATAGTAATAATAGTATTAATAATAATAATAGTAATGCTATAAATAGGTTAAGTATTGTTGTTAGCATAAGCGCGATACTATTATACAAAAAATAATAATTAGACAGTATTATATTTTTAACGATAGAGACTATTTATTTAATTACATGTGCTCGATCTGTATAAAATGTAATAATCAGAGTACTGTGGTTACAAAAATATTTTATAAGCGACTTCAAAAATCGTTTCATATTATATAATATTTTATGAATTATTTTTTAATACAGAAAGTTGACATGTCGTAGATTTTGTTATAATATATATATATATATATATATATAATTTCCAATCAAAAATTATTAAGTATTATAGCATTGAGAAATGTTAGAAATAATTGAAAATACGTAAAAAATTATTCACGAATGGCAGTAATAAGAAAAAAAAATATTTTTAGTAAATTTAACTATAAATACATGTTTTTTATATTTGTTTTTGATTGATCGGATCAAAAGTCGATCATTAAAGTTGATGCCTTTCTAAAAAAACAATTTTTTATAAGTCTTTAAGTGTTTTTTAAGTTCATTTTTACGCTCTTTTATCAATGTTTTAATTTCATTCCGAGTTTTTGGATCAAAATTAACATCCGAGAATATTTTTATCTGAAACAGATTAATTAAAGATGTTTAATAATAAATACAATTTCTTATACATAATTCAGTATAGATTTTGAAACGCGCGTCACGTATTATTCGATTTTACATCACATTCTTCAAAAATAGTTTGAAGAAACATAATTAATTATTTTAATATTATTATTAATTTAATTATATAAAGTTGAAATAATTTATATTTATAGCGACAAATATTTATTTAAAATGCGCCACAACTTTTAAGTTTAGCTTCATTGATTTGATAGTCAACAAGTACAATAAATATGTAATTTTGGAATCATAAAACATACCTTATCGATTTGTTCATTATAGAAGACTTTCCGAAGAATAAGTTTTATTATTCGAGTTGTAGTAAGTGCTCTGTAAAGAGACAAAGTAATATATTCATGATTAATAAATGTTTATAACTGAGAAAACTATATTTACAAAAAGAAATGGTATTACTTGGGTTTTATAGTTTCAAAATTATTCAATATATAGTCAAGGATTAAATTATTGTTCGAATGCTTATCAAGAATAGACTTGATGATAAAAGAACGTTCCTTTCTATTAAATAATGAAGTATTAAATGCTGTAATATTTAAATAGTTGATAATAATATCAGAATTTGTTGAGCAACTCAAACTTTTCAGTAATGTTTTTTTAAATTTTTCCTTTTTTGAATCCGTCCTTTGGTATACATCCAACATTTTATCCCAAGTAGTTCTATTGGCTGCCATCAAGCCAACACAATACATAAAATTATATCCTGGTTGCATTCTAAAAAATATATTTGTCTATCAACAAAAGATAGATACATTTCATGTGTATGAAGAATGTTTATTTTGTCAAGTTTTATATATTAATGTTCTAAGCTTTATTAAATTGTAAAATTTAAATTGTAAAATTGCTATTTTAAATAGTAAAATTAAATTTTTGTTCTGCGCTACTTTTTTATTTTCTATTTCTTTTACATGTAAATTATTTTACAATAAAGAAATAAATAAAAAATGGTTCTATCAGTAAACCGCTTAACAATTTATTGGATATTTTTACTTACAACGTCATATCCATTCTATGCGTTACGTTATTAGAAAAACATAAAATGTAGATTGAGAAAAACAGAAAGCAGACCGTTTGATTTGACTTTATCGATATGCTGCTTGCACTCGCGTACGCACGCGCGCACGAATACACACACATTCAATTTATAAGATAATTGAAATTATATAAAAATTACCTGTGAAGTTCTAGATCCGCGAAATGTTGGTTCCATTTAAAAGCGATATTCTTGCAAAACCCATCATCAATGGTACATGCCCATTTTATTGCTTTTCGTCTTATTTGTTTTCTAATATGATCATCATCAATATTTTCTAAGTATCCTATGTTTCGAAGAAGATAGTTAAGGAGTGTCATTATAGTTATCTAGAAATCATAAAATAATCATGTATTGGTTTTACATTTGAATTATTGGTATCTGCATTTAAAAGTTCGATTTGTAATTCCCAATGTGCTAGAAAGGCAAAAAAATTTTTATAGAATGTTTAAACATTCATGAAGTGTTTAAAATGTTATATGCACATACATTCTTTTATTTTATATATATTACAAAAATCAATTCAGTAAAAATAAATTTGAGGATCTTTGCGCCTGAAATTTTTGAGATTACA